ACCGTAGTCACAATGTATGTTATACTTTTCTAACTTGTATTTACTGACCTCCAGGAGCTTGTAATCCATCCCTCCACCCCTCAAAAGGCTATCTGTCCATCAGAATTGGGTGGGTTGGGCTTGCTCAGTGTCCCTCAGATTCTCTCATTAGGTACCTCCTGTGCCCCTAAGCGGTGACCCCAAGCAGAGTTTGCCTCGGGTCTTCACTGCAGTGTCCTACACCCAGGAAAGATCCAGGCTGCTTGCTTTCCATAAACACCTCTGGCTGGGACAAACCACTTACCTGGCTGGAGAGAAGACACTGATGCTGCTACTGAAGCTGGAGTCACAAGAACCATCAGGGCCTCCTGGGGACAGTAAGAGGAATAACGTATCATGCTAAAGGCTGTTGGGTTTTCTGAATAAACAAGATCCCTGTTATAAACACACACAGGCTCTGGTTCCCCACACCTTGATTCTGGCCCTTGAAAAGGAACATGGCTCTGGAGCCCTGAGGACCCAATGCCTACTCATCCCCCAAAGCTTCTGGGATAGTACCCATGCTTGTAAGATTTTAGGCACAGTGATCTCACAAGGAAAGGGACACCAGTGCTGAACACAAGGGACTGTTGGCCCAAGGGCAATGGATGTTAAAAATGGCTTCTGGGACACTCAATATTATTAGCCATCAGGTAAATGTAAATCAAAACTGCAACGAGATACCATTTCACACCCACTAGGATGGCTAAAATGAAAAAGAGAGGTAATAATGAGTGGTGGTGAGGATGTGGAGAAACTGGAAGCCTTACACACTGCTGGTGGGATGGAAACCAGCCTGGCAATTCCTGAAAAGGCTCAACAGTTACCAGGTGAAGTGCTTACCCAAGAGAAAGGAAAACAAGTCCACACAAAAACTTGTACAACATGTTCATAGAAGCATTATTTAAAATAGCCCCAAACTGTACACAATCCAAATTCTATCAACTGATGAGTGGATAAAAGAAATGTATTACAGCCATACAATGGACAATTACTTGGTCATAAAAAGGAATGAAGCACTGACACATGCTAGAACATGAATGAACCTGGAAAATGCTATCCTAAAGGAAAAAAACAAGTCACAAAGGATCCCATACTGTATAACTCCACTTACATGAAGTGTTAATAATAGGCAGATCTATAGAGATGGGCAGTAGGTCAGAGGTTGCCAAGGGCTAGAAAGGATGGAATTGGGTGTGATGGCTATTTTCTTAAATTAAAACAAGCAAACAAATAACTTTTTATTTTGAAATAATTTTAGATTTATAGAAAAGTTCCAAAAGTAATACAGAATTCCTCGTATACCCTTCTCCCAGCTGCCTTAATTAATGTCAACATTATATATACCCACTGTTTAACCAACAAACCGAGAAAGTAGCATTGATACAATACTATTAAATAAACTACAGACTTAATTTGAATTTGAACAGTTTTCCCATCCATGTCCTTTGTTCCAGGATCGCATGTGGGAACCCACGTTGCATCTAGTTGTCCTGTCTCCTTAGTCCCCTCCAATCTGTGACAGTTCCCAGTCAGTCTTTCTGTGTCATTCCTGAACTGGATACTTCTGAAGCCCTGGTCAGTTACTTTGTAGAATGTCTCCTGATTTGGGTTTGTCTCATGTTTTCTCATGATCAGGTTCAGGGTAAGTGATATGCTTTCCAGTGCATCGCATCAGGGAAACATGATGTCTATCTGTCTCATTACTGGTGATGTTAACTCTGTCACTCGATTAAGGTGGTGTCTTCTGGGTTTCCCCCCTATATAGTTACTATTTCCCTTTTTGTTGGGGAGGGAAGACAATTGAGATGAGACAAATATTCAGGGTTTATCTCAAATATTTCCCCCACTGATTTTTAACATCCATTGGTGAATCCTGCCTACAACAATATTACTATGGAGTTTGCCTAATGGTAATTTTCTGTTTTCCTCTTTCCTTCTACATTTATTAACTGGAACTCTTCTATAAGGAAGAGCTGTCCTTTTTCCACATTTACCTAGCTACCTATTCATCTATCCATCCATCTGGTATCATTATGGACCCAAAGATATTTATTTTATTCTGTGAGTTACAAATTAAAACTATTATTTATATTGTTGTTCATATGGTACCAGCCTTGGCCTCTTAAACGATTTAAATTATACAGCAAAACATTTTCACATTCTAAAAATTTCAAAAACAAAGCAAAGCCCCTTCTTCCCGCATGTGCCAGGGCCCAGATTGAACCTGCAACCCAGGTATGTGCCCTTGACAGGGAATCGAACCCTTGACCCTTCAGTGCATGGGCCAATGCTCCAACCACTGAGCCACACTGGCCAGAGCTCTCCTTGACCTTTCCCCCTCACTCTCTGCGTAGGTACCTGTTTCAGTTAGGCACCTACCCTCACATCTTTTGCTAATCCTACTTTTTGTTTTGTAAACATAAATGGAATCAGAGAATGTCTTAAGTTACTTGCTTTTTTCACTTTTTACTATGTTTTAGGGCAGTGCTATTCTAGGTGTGGACATGATGCTACCCCCAACCCCCTAGTAAGAGGATCTTTATTTCCATGTTAAACAGAAAATCTCTGAGCTGCCCCGTCCTCTAGAGTCCCAGAGAACCTTTGGGGGATGTGGCACAGCTCCCTGGGGGCAGGAGGGGCTGTGGGCACTGGCTGGGCCTGCTGAGCAGCCCCAGGGAAAGGGGACATGTGGGGAAGCTGGGCAGACCAGCCCGGACCAGCAGCCTGGAAAAGCAGCTGGGAATCCATGCCCCTGGCGGTCTCCCTGCTCTCGTCTTTCAGAAACACACACATTTATAGATGAAATGATGTGATGTCAGAAATTGGCTTCAAATTAACTTCGATTGTTTCCTAATTTCGTTGACGTCTCTCCTGTGTTTCCTTATGAATGAATGTAAGCATTTCTCCAGGATCCCATGTACACGGGGGCTGCTGAGTAGAAGGATCAGACATCTAATGCCTCAACAGATATTGTCAAGTTGCCCTTTAGGAAGGTCCTACCAATATGTAGTCAGGAATGGAGGAGTACTCATTCCCACAAAGCCCCACACAGGGATATCAGTAATCTTTTAAATGCTGGCCAAGTTGAATAAAGATCATACATTGTTTTCCTTTGCAATTCTTGGATTCCCAGTCAAGCCACATGTCTTCGGTTGTCCTTCTGTATTAATTTCCTCTTCAGAGAACCACATTGTAAACACAACTATGAGCAGACACTCTGGGGCTCCTGGGCCTGGGTGTGAGCCCTGACTTTCCTACTTATTGGCTGTGTAACCCTTAGACAAGTTACTTGACTGCACCTCTGTTTCCTAACCTGTATGATGACAGTGCTGACACCACAGGTTTGCTATGACAATCAATGAGCTACCATTTGTTAGGTGCTTTAAAGGGAAAACCTTACCTACACCCATATTTATTTCCTAAGGAAATATTCTTAAATGTTTAAGGTTCTTGATACACGCTGCTAAATGTATTTGCCAGACAATATATTTAACTTATTTTTGCTTCCTTCCCTGTAGGAATGTCTGCTTTTCCCCAAAATCTCTACAGGAAACATGTATTTCCTTTATAATTATTGTAAAAAATGGGGGTGAGGCTGGGGAAGAATGGAAGCTAAAGAGAAAGAAAAGATCTAGTTCAAAGAACCTCCTGAAAGCCTGGCCTGGTGGCCTGTCCTCTGTGACCATGCCCAGAGTCACGTGGTTACTGTCTGCAGATTTGTCCCTGAGCTTCTTGCAGGCAGGTCCTAGGTCTCATTCACCTGCATTTGCCCACAGAAGGTGCTGATACACACCCAGTGCCATAAGAACTTTGGAATGGATGGATTGCATCACATGTGGCTCCACAGAAGTCACCAGCCCTCCACTGGAAACCCTATTTATAGTCTTGCTCCTCAACTGCCACATGAACTTTCATCTCTGACCCTCTTTGATCCCTCATTTAGGACCCACCAGGGCCCCATTACCACCTGGGCAATGCTGGTGACAAACAACAAGCGAGCAAAAGCCCTACCCTGAGAACCTTGCTAAGGAGATGGATCTAGTGTAAACATGTAATAAAACAACCAGACACTAAAGCATCTGTAACTGAGTGTTTGGCCTATGCCATGTGCTAAGAACTTTACATGCAAAAATCTTGTCTGAAATTCACCATCACACTGTGGGCTAGGTGTTATTACTGTTGCCCTATTTAACAAACAAGGAATCTGAGGCATAGAAAGACCAAGTGACTTGCCCAAGGGCAACAGATATGAAGTTAGCAGAGCCAGGGCACAGGTAGGTGGTTCTGGCCCCAGAATCCAGGTCACAACATGAGACAATTAGGGAACATCATGGAGAGGACTCAGAGTCAGAGAGGGACACTGCGCTGTGGGCTCCCACAAGCAGCAGGGCTGAGGGAGGGCCAGGGCAAGTGGAGAGGGCTGGCAGCAGCTGGTGCAGACGTGAGCCTGCGCATGTGTGTGAGTACATGCCCATGCACGGAGGGCTGGCTGACAAGCCTCCCTGTGGGTCTGGCCCAGAGGCTCTTAGTGAAGAACGTGGGACGCGGTGGGACGCAGCAACACAGACGGAGTCAGGGAGGGGGACACTGGGTGAGGAGGACCAGGCAGGAGGCTCCTGCCTTCTCCAGGAGGACCCGGGTTGGAAGACTGGAACAGAATAATTAGAGGAAGCGCGAGCGGTTGGGATGAACCTGTCAACCGACAAGTTAAATCATCTCTCTTTTGGTTGCTGGCACCTTCTCCTGGCACCTTGGTTAGTTACAAGCCAGTGGGTCTGGAGTGAATGTGGAGCCCAAATTAGCTGTTGCCATCTCTGGGAACTACCATAAAGTGAGCTTTGTGTTTGCTGAAGTGCTGTTTATGAGGCAGTAAAATCTGAAGCCAAGCTGGCTGCATGTATCTTGGTTAGGATAACCAAGAGCAGGGAGCTGTTGCAAGAGAGCTAAGGAAAACTATCTAAAAAGTTAAATGACTATGCTGCATTGGCTAGGAATGGAACCCGGGCCTCCTGCATGGCAGGCAGGAATTCTACCACTGAGCTACCAACGCTCCAGCTGGTTTCTCAGCAGCTGCCACGACCAACAGGGTGCAGTGGTTCCTTTCCCGAGGGCTGGACTTGTTGCCACATAAGCAGAAAGAGTGGGGCACAGACTGGTGGGTTCCACTTTGGGGGAAGAGGCATTAACTTTTGTTTTTTTAAATTGAGATATAATTCATATAAAAAACATTTCCCGACAACATTTTAAAGTGTACAATTGGGTAATTTTTTTCTACATCCACAAAGTTGTACAAATATCACCACTATTTAATTCCAGAACATTTTCATCACCCAAAGAGGAACTGTGTACCTGTTGGTATTCAGCCCTAATTCCCCCTTTCCTCTGGGTCAGAATAAAATATTCCAAACTTCTGCATGTTGTGGTTTGTCAAGCCAAAAACAAAACAAAGCAAAACAACCCTGCCCCTCCCCAAAACGTATCATCCAAGCAAAAAAAAGCAGGATGTGGAATTATACAGGGTGGGGCAAAAGTAGGTTTACAGTTGTGACAATGCAAAACAGAGTTTATTCTTGTATTATTATTTAATAATTATTGTATTATTTTCCATATGAACAACTGTAAGTCTACTTTTGCCCCACCCTGTGTAAGTTGTATGATTTCAAATATACATAATAGAAAAAAATATACCAAAATTATAATAATGATTGCCTTTTGGTGGGAATAGCCCTGCTTATTTTCCCCCCTTTCCAAATTTTCTTAAATGAGATCAAAACACAAAAAGTTTAAAAAATACTCATGTATCAGTGAAAGTTCACAAAATATGTCTATGCTTGAGATTCTTCTAATACCTCTCAGGAAGAAAGCTCCTGCCTTGGGAGGCCCATACTAACTTATCTCCCCGAATTTTCTTTTTCAAGGAGCTGCCAAAAAGTCTCTGGCTGCTTGCATTGGCCGGGAATCGAACCCGGGCCTCCCGCGTGGCAGGCGAGAATTCTACCACTGAACCACCAATGCTCCAGCTGGGTGCTGCTCTGCCTCCAGCTGTTTTGCTACTGTGGTTCACAGAGGGCAAGGCCCGGCTGTAACGTGACACCTGAAACAATCCAGCATGCCAAACCCATGGGAGGAGGCCCACGGGGCACGTGTGCCTAAAATTCTGATATTTAAAAGAGACGCCAAGAATGGCAATGGGAGAAAATGTGCTTTAGTAATTCTTTCGGCTCCGGGGGAATGTTCCAGACTTTATAGTCTGTTAACCTTAAAGATTTGAGTAGGTTCTGTATCCATTTACTCTCTGGCTGATTCTGCAAAGGAGAACATCACCCCAAAGCTGATCAGTGACCTCTCAGTGAGGACAGAGGTCCAAGAGATTAAACAAACAAACAAAAAAGTTGGTTCTAGATAACATTTAGAGTCAAACTCCAGACTCCAATTGGCAGTGTGATTTTCCTCATGTTACAGATAAACAAGGCAGTAATGTTAAAGGAATCTTAAAGGAGACCAGTCATTTCATTTTTTAAAGACATTGAGTTTGATAGAATTCCCACAGACTGAATAAAGTGCCACTGAAGCTTTCTTAACCCTCCCTCCCTGAGGGTGACTGGCCCAGTAAGGGCAACCAGCTTCTGGGTGGCTGCATGCCTACAGCCAAGGTTCAAGAGACCTATACTCTTGCCACACTGAAAACAATGGTATCTGTAGCTGAGCCCAGGAGAGCAGTAATGGTCTTTAAAGCAATAGAGTTAAGAGCATGGATTCTGCAGACAAGCTGCCAGGGTTCAAATCCCAACTCTGCTACCTAGTAGTGGCCAGGTCCTGGCTGTGTTATCTATCTTCCCTTTGTCCACCTGTAGAATGGGGATAATAGCAGTTCCTACTTTATTGGGTTGTCATGAATTAACATATGGAAAGTAGTTAATGAGGCCCCACATCAAGTCAACTACGACCTCCGGTTCCCTGGTGCACTTTCAGGGAGGTGAGGGGCAGGAGGCAGAGCCTACTCACCACTGCCTGTCCCCTCCTGCTTTGCCAAGGAGTCGTCGGGGTTGGGGTCTGCCTGCTTCTGCACCACTGGCCTTGGCTCATCAGGCTCATCGTCCTCAGGGGTGACCAGCTTCATCAGGCTCTGGTTGCACACGTTGGCTACTTCCTTGATGCCTGGGTCCACTGATGTAAGGAGTAGCCCCATCCAGGAGTCCTCCCTAAACCCGAGGTCACTGGCATTAGTCAGGGGCTCAGTCCTTCTCAGAGGTGATTTAGTGGGCAAACAGGCAGTTTGAACAATTGAGTCCATGTTCTCCTCCCACTCCGGTGTCCCCTCAAGATGCTTGCAGGACCCCTTTCTTGATGGACTTCCCATTGACAGGATTTCCCCCACCCAGGGCTGGGCAGTGTGAGCTCAGGGGTTGGAACTGTGGGACCCAGAACTGCTCCAGGTCTGTAAGTAATCAGGTGAGCTTTGGGGACAGCGGCATTTGCTTCGTGTTCTTGGTGCTGTCTTGGCTCTCCCAGTCCATGTTCAGCAATGCCTCCTGTTCCCTTGATCCCAGGGACTATTTGGAGGCACCTCATCCTAAGGGTGCCTCACCCCCCACTCCAGGGTCCTGCAACTTCACAGCCCCCTTTGGAGCTGCTCTCCTTTCCTTTCTCCAGAGCAAAGGATACTTTTCTTGCGGTCATCGTAAGCCAGGCAGGGCAAGACGGCGGTCAGGATCCCAGAGGAATAGGGCAGCATCACCCGGCCGGCCAGCTGGATGAACTCCCTCATCCAGCACATGGCTGTCAGCTGGATCAGGTCATCTGGAAGAGAAGGGGGGAGAGGTAGGTTCCAGGAGGGTCTGCATGAGTGGCAGAGTGCTCCCTCCCACTGACCATGCCCACAGGGTGGGACTGCGGGGCACTCGAAGGTTTACACTGCTTCTGACCTCACCAATACTGTTGCGCCCTTGCTTTCTGCCTCCCATAGGTACGCACAGTATCAGGTTGGAATGGAGCAACAATCTGTGGCAGATTGTAAGAGTAGCCATGATTCTCTACCCTTTTCTGTGCCCATGCCCCCCACAATGGGGTTCTGAAGCTTCTCTCATCAAGGGGTGAGTCCACTTCCTCACTCCTTGACCTGGCTGGCCTTGCCACTTTGGCCAACAGAAAGTGGTAAAGTGATGGTGTACCTGGTTCTAGCCTGGACCTTAGGCGGCCTTGCTCACTTCAACCATGTCTCTTGGGATCTCACTGATGCTATATGAGCACATGTGGGCTGGCCTGCTGGATAACGACACATGGCCCAATTGCCGCTGCTGCCCCATGTGACAGCCAGCCAACTGCCAGACATGAGTGAGGCCATCCTATACCACCCAGCTGCAGCTACCCCTCCAGTTGACTGTAGGTGCATGATCAAGCCCAGCCACACCTCACCCAGGTGAGCAGAACAAACCAGCAGACTGCAGACTCAGGACTCAGGACCAATTATAACTTTACTGCGTTAAGCAGTTGCATTTTGTGGTGGTTTTATACACAACGGAAGCTAATGGAAACCCAATCTTAACCCCCACTCTTTCCAATTCACAGTGCTAAGGTCTCCATCAAGAGGGTCTCCAGATTTCACTCTTCCCAGGGTTAGACTAAGTGAAAGAGCCTCCACGATAAACACAGAAGGTGAATCTCTCTCTCACAAGGACCCACAGCTCCACATCCAGTGTTGCACTTGTTCACATTCCTACAAGGACCCTTTCTGAGACAGTGAGAGAGAAAGGAGCTTCTGAGGAGGTGGTAGTAGCTGTGGGCCCTCACATACTCACCTGTGGTCTGGCAGTGGATCACCAAGATGTTGGCCATCTCAGCAAACTTGACACTGGAGGGGTTCTTCTTAATTTCTTTCAAGAATTCTCCAAGGACGACTTCACACCTGCCAATGAGAGAATGAGAAGGGACATAGCATATACCAGCCAGGGCCCACTTCTGCTCTGGGTTAGCCACCCAGAGAGGACCACACTTTGAACCTGTCAGATGAATGTTTTCCAGAGGCTGGGGATTGATGAGCTGTTAGCTCCTCATGGTAGGAAGCACATGAGCCAGGAAGAAAACGGGTACTTTGTGTTCTGCTGCTGCTGTCTGTTGGTGTGGGGTACGTGTGTACACTGAGGAGCCCCGGATGGTGGCAGCTGCCTGCCCCCTCTCTCCACTCACATTTTACGAATCTCTTTGCCATTGTCACCCAGGATCTGGAAGAGTCCATCCAGGATCTCCGGCAAATAATCCAGTAGGTTAATGTCTGGCACGGACTCCAGAACCAGGATCTGACCAGGGAAAGAAACCAGGAGCGAAAGTTACACCAGCTGGAGAAGCGCAGCCTCCTCCCCCCCAGTCCCCTGGGCCTGAGCATTGAGGAGGCGGCCTGCTGAGGCAGCACCTCATGGCACTGCAGGTGTCCATGCGGTGGAGAGGGGTGCTAGCAGCTACTGGTTTGGTTAAAAGTGCAGGGGAAGAGTAATTTAACAAGGAAATTCAGATGCTGTGGGGACAAGGGAGCATATGGGAAAGGACAGACAAGGCTAGAAGAGGTGTGACAGCCAGTAGTAGCACCATTAGCTTCAAAGGGAAATCGGGGTTTCCCAGAAAAAGGAAAGAATTATATCCTGTCAGGGGCAAGCTGAACAAAAGCCGTCTTCAGATTATCTGGTGTCATTGGCCATTAGGATAACAATAAGGCTTCTCTGTAGCCATAGGACTTGCCCTGGGAGTGTGCCAGAGAGCAGATGTGACTAAACCAGAGGCTCATCACAGCTAGAGAAAGTGCCATGGGGCCAGCTCTTACCCAGGAGATGATGAACTGCCGGGCGTACTGGTTGTTGGAGTATATCCTCTCCCGCAGCAAGGGGATGAAGCCCACCAGGTCAAACTTGTTGCTCTCTGTCACTATGTCCTGTGGATCAAAGGTGCGTGAACTGCTGAGTGACAGCCAGAGGCCAGGGGCTTCCTGACCTGGCCCAAGTACTGGCCCAGGGTTGGCTCCAGGGGTCAGGTAGTCACAGAGAAAAGGGGGTGACAGAC